CCTAAGGGTACCCCTCTTAAATAGGTCCCCAGCAGAGTCGCCAGTTCTGTAACACGGTGGGAGAACTGACTTTAAACAATGTTGCGGATAGCAAGAGTCGCCACCGACTTTTATTTTATCCATAAGGAAAGGTTATAAAAGAACAGGAAAGACCTTAGAGAATATTTTGGGTCCGGGGGGTAGGTTATGAAAAGGGAAGGTGTTAGCACCCTTTTCATCCATGGTTATCCATGGGCTCTTAGGTACTTAAGCTCACTTTTGAATTGTTTTGAAAGTGTAGTGTGTGAATAGAAAATTTTCAGAATAGTTAATAAATAATCCATGTAAGGATGTGTTAAGAACTTGTTTGAAAACTTGTTGAAAATTTGTTTAAGTGTGAAAAAGTTTTGAAGTGAGCAAGTATCTAGGAGTAGCCTACCCTAATGTTTTAAGGTCTTTCTTATTCTTTATCCTTTCCTTAGTAAGACTATCCCTACTATAATGGAGTAGGTAGTCCTTACTTTGGATGTTAAGGGACATGTGAGGGACAATTGGATTTTTGAAGGCCATTGTGGGGTGTAATAAGCACATATAAGGGACCATCATCATTTTTCGAAAGGGACTTGATTCGTAAAGGCAACCATAAGGGACTTTGATGATTTTTTTATTTGAGGGACTTGCTTTATACACCCCACTTAACCATTATTCGTAGGCAACTTGAGGGATATCCTTAGGAAGTGAGACGGCGATTAAAATCGACTTACGTGTGTGACGTGTTTATTTTAATTATCTTTATTTAAAAGTGATCTAAATTTATTTTAATATTACATACATGTTGTTACACTCCCTAATTACTAACCATAATAATAATTAAACAACTTTACATCCAAGAAACAATTACAAAATTATAATAAATAAAAAAAATAACAAATAAGCAAATAAAATATTAGGGTTAGTAAATAATAAGAAAAATTAAATAAGGTTAGTATAAATATAAAGTTAGTGAAAATAATTAGTTGAAACAATAATAATGAGAAAAATAGACAAAGTTAGAAAAAATAATAAGATAGAAATTTCAAAATAATAATAAGCAACAAAATATGATTAGCAATAATAATTAATTAATAACGTGATTAAACATAAGATTTGATTTTTATTTAGAAACATAAATGATTAAATAATTACTATAATATAAAGTTCTAAATATCATAAGATTTGATTTTTATTTAGAAACATAAATGATTAAATAATTACTATAAAGTTCTAAATATAACATAATTATAAATTTCTTAATCATTTACAAAAATTTAATTATCTCTAATTATATATTAACAATTATTAAGAAAAATATTTACACATTATGATGAAAACAAATTTTAACTAATCAATAATCACATTCACCAAAATTTTACATTAAGTGTTTATAAGGTTTAATTTTATTTACAAAAATTTACAAGAATTATAATAAATATATACATAGAATCATATAGAAAATTAAAATTAGGTTTTCATATTAATTTGGAAAAAAGATGTTAATGTCATTTATTTAAAAAAAAACAGATTTTTATATTACAACAAATTTTAATAAATTAATGATAACAATAATAATAATAATGATAATAATGATAATAATAATAAATAATGATAATAATAATAATAATAATAATAATAATAATAATAATAATAATAATAATAATAATAAAGCAATAATGAATTTTAAATGTGCCAAATAACCCAACAATGTTGCTAACGCAGAAATGCGCTCATCGCAACCAGATCTAAATCGGACGAAACAAAATTTATCGCAAAGAAAAAGAAATTAAGCAAAAAACAGTATTATTGCTCACACAAAAATGCGATCATCGCAACCAGATCGAACTAACACAAATGTCACGCGTCATGCACACAAATGTGCAAACATCGTATCGACATAATTCGATCAAAAATCTTATATATATAAACTCTAACAATTTAAAAATTATATATATATATAAACGCAACAGTAATAGATAAAGAAAAAGAAATAACGGTAATAGATGAAGAAAAAGAAATAACGGTAAAAGATGAAGAAAAAGAAACAACAGTAATAGATGAAGGAAAAGAAATAACGGTAAACGATGAAGAAAAAGAAACAATAGTAATGGATGAAGAAGAAAACTAAATAACGGCCAACGGCACTCACTCCTCTTAGGTTTTTTTCATTCTCCTCTTTTCCAACAAGGCAACACATGTATATATAGGGAACAAATTAGGGTTAACACCAAATTGTCAATAATGTCCCTAAAGCCCATTTTAAAGCCCAAACTAAATAATTAGTTAAGAAAAAATAAAATTTAAATAATTTAAAATAATTAAAATAAACTTAAAATAAAAACTAATAATCCTATTGATTCCTAAAATAAAAAATATTATAAAAAGAACAAAATTTTTTTCAATATTTTTTTATTTTATGATTTTTTGGATATTTTTATGAATAATTTAGAAAAAAGTGAAAAAAAATAATATTTTAAAAAATGATTTAATTAAAATACGAAAATAATAATTAAATAATAATAAAAAACTATTTTTGTTATTTTTTTTAATGAAAGATAGAAAAATTTAGAGTAAAAATAATAAAAACAACAAAAAGTGCCAAAGGTGAGATTCGAACTCTCAACATTTCACACTCATAACTCCTTACACATGTCCTCCTGCCAATTGTGCCATTTTTACTTTTAAAAAAAAAAGTGCATGCCATATGATATTTACCTGCAAAAAGTCAAACGACTACACAAATTTGTTAGTAATTGATTAAATGCAATGAAATGCGACGACAAATCTTAGGGCAAAATTTGAGGTATTACAGTTATTATGATAATATTTCTCACCCAACCTCTCTTTGATGTTGGCAAAAAAAATCATGAAGTTTGACTTTGGTTTGACCACAGTTGACCTCAGTTTGACCTTTTAACTACATTGACTGCTTTTGACTTATCTGATCATCTGACTGAGCAAACTTTTGAGAAAAGTCTTGAAACTTGACATGGGGGTTCTTATACACATATAAGATGTTATGAAGCTCACTTGAAGTCTTGGAAGTCCATTTAGCCTGATTAAAGTCAAAACCCTAGTTTTGGATGCACTGCTTAGGAGGTGCATTGTCTGAGGGAATTGTCAACTCTTCTGACCAATTATGAATTTTGTGAAACTTGTGAAACTTCTTGGAACACAAAGTCTTGTATTGTGAGGGCAAATTTTGGGGTGCAACAATCATAAAATAAAATAATATTTACTTACGAGAAAAAATATATTATTAATTTAAATATTTTATATAAATTTAAATATATAAATAATGTTAAAATAAATTTAATATTAATATACGGACTATTTTTATATATAAAATAAGTTATAAGGATTATTTTATTATATTTTTTACGAGATGAATGCCCGGACTAATTTATTTTTGAAAACATGGCATATTTAATATTTTTTTAAAAGTAATGTTGTAATTTGGCTGCAAAAGTATGGCAAGACGGTAAAAAATTCTCAAATTCCAATCTCTGATCTGAATTCTGAAACCATCATCTTTTTATTTGTGCAAGAACCTAAAACCGGCGGGTAAAGCCGTGTGCTTTGTTGGAAAAAAACACTCACCAATGGTGTGCTTTGTTGGAACATCATAACTAGGGGTGGCAAAATGGATGGATTGGATGGATATGGATTGGATTGCTAATGGATGGATTAAAACAATCCATTAGTCCATTAAAATCCACTAAAATTTTATTAAAATTATCCAATCCGATCCATCCATTAAAAATAAAATCCATCCAATCCATCCATTAACATATTTTTAATGGATGGATATCCATCCATCCAACTTTTTTTTTAATTTCGTAAAAATAAATTATTTTTTTTCAAAAACAAATTAGTTTTTTATTCTGAAAAAAAAAAACAACTTTTTTTCCAAAAAAAAAAGTCGGTTTTTTTTTCGAGAAAAAATTTTATTTTTTTTCGAAAAATAAATCAGTTTTTTATTCTGAAAAAAAAAACGATTTTTCAGAAAAAAAAAGTCGGTTTTTTTTTTCGAAATTTTTTTTTTGAAAAACATATCAGTTTTTTATTTTGAAAAAAAAACCGATTTTTTTCCAAAAAAAAAGTCGGTTTTTTTTTCGAGAAAAAATTTTATTTTTTTTTTCGAAAAACAAATCAGTTTTTTATTCTGAAAAAAAATGATTTTTTTCCAAAAAAAAAGTCGGCTTTTTTTTCGAGAAATTTTTTTTTTCGAATAACAAATCAGTTTTTTATTCTGAAAAAAAAACTGATTTTTTTCCAAAAAAAAAGTCGGTTTTTTTTTTGAAAAAAAAATCAGTTTTTTGTTCTGAAAAAAAAAATAAATTTTTTTTCAAAAAAATTAAAAAAAATTTTTCAGAAAAAAAAATATAGTTTTTTAATTATTTTTGAAAAAAAATCTAATTTTAAAAAAATAAATCTAACGAAAATAAAAATAATCCATTGGATCCTTAAAATATGTTGGATGGATTGAATCAATCCATGCATATAAATGGATGGATTGAATCCATCCATGCATATAAATGGATGAATTTAATCCAATCCATTAACTTATTTTTTGTGTGGTGGATGGATTGGATGGATTTTTTGATGGATGGATTGGATGGATTTTGCCTTAATGGATTTAATTGCCACCTCTAATCATAACTGTAAAACACTCACCAACATTTCAATTAATTAATAATATAAATATAATTAATTAAAATAAAATAAAATAAAAAGAAAAAGCGTTGAAATCAATTCATCAATGGCGTTTCTCCTGAGTGGAGATATACGCAACCTCCATTATACCCGCCACCATCATTCCTTTCTTCCTTTCTATTTTATTTTTATTCTCTCTTTTTAATCACTTTCACAATTTCCTTTTCTTTTTTATTTTTATTTTTATTCCTTTTTCAGCTTTTGAATTCTCCACAAATCAAAACCTATGCAAGGAGAATCGATTCTGAATTAGGGTTTTCATTCCTTCCGCCATGGGAAACATCTCTAGCCACGGTTCCAACAGCCGTCGTCGACACGGTTCCGCTTCACGGAGAACTCACCCACCGCCACCGCCTCCGGTAACACCTCAACCCGAAATCCCTACACATCAATTTGTTTACCCTGCTGCCGCACCGTACCCGAACCCGAACCCTCCCATGCATTATCCGCAGTATCATTATCCTGGTTATTATCCACCGCCGGTACCTATGCCACATCCTCATCAACATCCTCATCATCAACATCCTCATCAACAACAGCATCCTCATCCGCATATGGATCCCCGGTATTACCCTTGCGGCCCGGTCATGAATCAACCTGCACCATTTGTTGAGCACCAGAAAGCTGTTACTATAAGGAACGATGTTAATATTAAGAAAGAGACTATTGCGGTTTCGCCTGATGAGGAAAACTCTGGGTTCTTCCTTGTTTCGTTTACCTTTGATGCCACCATTTCTGGGAGGTTTGTTTTCTTCTTATTCCATTTAATGAATGCGTTATTTTAGTCTTTTGGCTTTTTGATTGTTGATTTGTTTATATTTTTTCATATTAAGCATTGTGTTGAGTTTTTGATAAAACCCTCGTTGTATGTTGTTGTGTTTAGCTGACAATTTGGAACACATGGTTCTTCTGGTATGTATAACAGTTTGCAATGTGAGGACACTACATGATATGAGGTTGAGAAAGTGATAGATATTTTGGTGTGACTAAATTCGTGGAACCGAAAAAAGACAGGATATTTTGGAGTTATTGTTATTTGTCTTCAATCGTAAGTTTTGTTTAAGAATGGATTAGGAGTCATGGTAAAGGAGAAAGTGGTTACCTCCACAATAGTTTACTGTCTTTTTGAGGGTTTTATGCAGTTGGAAAGTATGGGGGTGGTTTACCATAACTAGCATAATCTTTGATTTTGAATTAACTTCATTTTCTACCCTTAATATCTCTTAGAATTTTGTTTTAGGGCCCATTCAACCCTACAAAATCAGTTTGCAGCGTGAGGAATATCTAATTAAGTTCTTGGAATTACGTTGAATCGACATTTGACTCGAGTCGAGAATGATACAACACGTTGTAGGTTTATGTTTAACGCATGGTGAGTGAGCTACGAGACGCAGAAGCAAACAGCCACGAAGACATGATTTTATAAGCACTACAAATGTCATATCTCTAGGAGATGTGGAACTAAACTCAACCCCTTAAGTCAGCACAATACGTTGTACCACTATAGTAAAGGCAGATGAAGAGGCCCAATAACAGGCTGCAGGGTTGCCACAATTACGGAGGGTTTTTCAACAATATCTTTTGTCATTCAAATTGAAATTCTGATTTGGTTGTTTGGCAAATAGAATTGTTGGAAGACTAGGGTGACACTTTTATTTATCCCAATTACTAAAAATATGGCTAGGTAGTAGCAAAGCAATAGTGAATTTTATATTATATTTCAAGACATGGTTGTCAAATTATCATGTCAACTCATAGAATTGAGTTGAATATTGCTATTAGAATTGTTGAGTAAACTCGGTTGAACTTATATGGACTCGTTCAAAACCAAATCACTAAGTATCACGAGCATATGCCAAGCAAGCTTGTTTGATGGAAAGGTTTAACTAGACATAAAAGTACGCTAAAAATATTCTAAGGGCATGTTTGTGAGTTTGGAGGAGAAGGGAGGGGAGGACTTTAAAAAAAAGGGAAAGATTAAGTGGAAAGAATTGAAGGATTTTGGTTGGGAGAGTTTTGGGGGGTTTGTTTTTATTCATAACACCAAAAATCCCCTAATTTGGTAATTTGGAGGAAATTTGTATTGAAGGAGGGTTTTGAAGGGTTTTGGAGGGCTTGCATAAATTTTTCAAATATATTTTATGTTGTTAGTTTTCTGAAAATTAAAAATATAGTAATAGTAACGATAAACACTCTTTTATCATTCTATACAAAATCATCCTTTTAAAATATGTCAAATAATTTCCTATATTTTTTAATAAAAAATCATCTTCAGAAGCCTTCTCCTCCCCTCCAAACTCCCAAACAAAGCCTAAGTGAAAGATGACTACTGAATAGAAGGTATGGAAAGGGAGAAGTGGAGAGTGGCTAAAGCGGGAGAACAAGGCAAGTTGGTAGTGTTTACAGAAAATAGTGTCTGTAAGTTTGGTGGTGAGTTGCAGTGAAAGGCGGATTCAGAAAGGATGGGGAGGGGCAGCTGATTGGGGAGAAAAAAGGGCTAGGTTTTTTGTTTTGATTAAAAGGGTGACTGACTAGAGAGATTGTGAGTTTAGTTGAAAAAAAGGCTTGACTTTGTTTTATTTCTTTTCTTGTATCTCGCCTAGCATTATGAGCATTTTTAATTGCTTAGATCTTGATTTTTTTAATCCTCTTTCACTATAAATGATGATTTCCAATTCAAAATTCTCTAATATGGAGAACTGTTTACATACTTGTTAAGAACTTTCAAATATTTATTGTTGGTTTGCTGTTTTACTTTATCATGGAGTTGTAATGTTGAATTATAATTATGAAAATCATGTTTGATGTTTGAATTAGCATGTTTGATGTTGCAAGAAGTTACATGAAATCATCCACAAGTTTTGGTTGGCTGAATTATATACAAATATTTAAATATTTTGGGTCTGCAGTACAAAATGACGGAGAAATAGAAGGAGATGTAAACCATCAAATTTATGTAGAATGGTTGAAATGGAGGAGAGCCTTAGGTATTTTATGTGATACAAAATTACCGCTCAAGCTGAAGAGAAAGTTTTGTATGATAGCAAGACTTATAATTTTGTATAGGACAGAGTGTTAGGCAGTAAAAAACCAACATAAGAATAAAATTAGTGTAGCATAGATGAGGATGAGGACGTTGTGTTAGATTTGTCACAAAGACTATACATGATAGGATTATAAATGATAACATTAGAGAAAGAGTTGGGGGTAACACCTATCGTAGAAAAGATGGTGAAAACTCGGCTTAAGTGGATTAGGCATGTAGAGAGAAGAATTGATCAAAGTCAAATCACTAGAGTTAGAGAAAGATCTGTGGGAATGCCTCTTCTTAGTTTGTCTATAATCTTGACAAGCGTGATGCATTTCATTAAAAAAAAATCTTACTATATAATATCACTAAGTTTTACTTTGAGTTGAGTCTACGGGTACAGACACTCCATGGATTTATGTGTTGTTGACTCTTGAAATTTTACAACCCTGCTGGAACGATAATTGTTATTTTCTGCATACATGCCTAAAATGTAAGTAAAGTATTTTTAAAAAGCCCAACATTTAACAACACAGTAGGGCATAACACATTCCTCACCACTGTAGGACTTGGCTCCACACATGCATCTTACACTGGCATGAACCTTTATGCAGAGGAGATTAATGATGTTGTATTGATTCTCAACAGATGGTTTATAGTTATCAAATCGAAATTAACTAGTGAATTGATCCTTTTAAGGAATTGACGTAAGATACATTGCCGGTTAAAAAAGATGACATTTTAAAGTAAAAATTAGTGACATAGCAAATTTTTAAAGCGATATATCATATACAGCCTTGAATTAATTGAAGCGTCAAGTTATAAATCAAACGACAGAAGAAAAGTGTCTGATTATACAATGTTGGCAGAAAAAGTGGCCGGTTACACTCAGTTAAGGTAGTGATTCATCAGAATAAATTCGGATCCATCATAGTAAACTGGGATTCATCATTATGAACCGGAATTCAAGATGAGATTTGTCCAAAATAGATACACACTATGGATTTAGTGGAGTTTTGTATTGAATCAAGATACGGCCCGCATGTATATTAAGATACTGATCTCTATAGTCTACCGTGGTGGTGGAGAGCTACACAAAACGGTGTTGTGGTGCGGATTAAGGTTGCAGCATAATCACAGAGTGGATTTTATGAGACCTCGTCGCCTTTCTTTCTTTTCCGCATCGCACAACCTCTGTTTTTCTTCTCCAAAAGCCTTCTCATTGAGTTCCATTCGCTGTGACACCTATCTCTTCTCAGCAGAGTGAGTTCTTTCCTTCTCGCCATTGATTACCCTGTTCTCTGCAACCAGTCTTCTTCACAATTCATTTCCTCTGTTTATCTGTTTATACACAGAGTCCCCTTCGTCTCTACTATGGCATCATCTTAGTCTCAGCCAACACGATCAACACTGTTCGGATACTTGGTTTGGGCCTTGGTCCATAATATAGCCCAATAATAGTGAAGTGGTTAATTGGTTAATCCTGCTTATGGACCAATCTGTTAGAGGGGAAAGGTAGTTAGTTATACAAGGACATGGTTTGTTAGCAAGAAGGAATTTCAATATGATCTCTGTTAGGAACCTTTTAGGTGGGTCAGAGAGAGAATCATCTCTTCTCTGAGGAGCACTTGCTCTGGTTGTATTTCTGTTTTCACTATTCCATTAATATAATAAATCTCTTCCATCTAATATTTCTCATATACCTGTTATCTCTGCTCTATCATTTAAGGAATTACTTGGATTTATTTAAATGCCTGGATGTTTTATTTTGAGCCTTGGAGGCTAGAACTTATTTCCTTTTTTTTTGTTGCTTTATATGATGTTTGAATATCATGTTTATTTTGCTGTTTGCATTATATTATGTTTGAAATATTAGTACAATGAACTTTGAGCGTTAGTTATTAAGTGTGTGTTTAACTTTGTATTGTTTTCCCTAGACCTCGAGGTAACAGCCATATCCTGCTACACCGCTATAGCATTTTGGGGGTCAGCTGCTACACAATGCTATCAGTTACTGACTACATAGATACTGATAACTATCTTTACCTGATAGTTCCTTAGCTTAAATAAAGTCATAAACCAAAATGTATGAACAAACTTATTATTGCAATATGCATATGAGAATGAGTACCCTACTGTGACGAGTTGAAGATGTAGATTTACCGAGTTGAATCTAACTCCAACAAGGGGTGTCAATTCCCACCATTTTTACTCTAGTAGATTTGAACCTCGTGGTTTGTTACTTAGCCATTAATTTTGAGCTTGTTATTCTCCTTTTGTTGTTAAGTATGTGTGATTTGTGAATTTATCCATCAATTTTGAATTGTGATGCAAATTGCAATGTTTGTGTATTCTAGTCTAGTCTGGTTTGTCTGCCTGGCCCAGTGTAACCTTTGAGGCCGTCTTAGTTTAGTTTTTATTGGTTGCTTACAGAATATTTAATTTTGTTATTGTGGTTTTTTCATTAATATGTTAGAATGTTGAATGTGCTCTCAGCACATAGTAAACCATGTATAGATACTAGCGAGATGTTTTAACATTACTTTTGTATTATGCAACTATTACGAGATTATGAGTTAGTCTGGAGATTTCACGAGTTTACGTGAATTCTTGAGTATGACAACTATAGGTATATTCAGAAGCAATGCCTACTTTTTCTCTATTAAGTATCCAAATTGTGGATTCAATTAACATAGATTTCACTTGTGCTTTTTGCCATCATTGCATTAGTAACTAACTTTTGTGTTTTACACTTGTGGAAATGTCAGCAAAATATTATATCAGTGAGAGGAATATTAACAACTCTCTTGTTGCACATTCTGCAACACTCCACGTAATAGCTTTATTTTTAAAAAGGCAATGCACTGTTTAAAAGATTATCAATTTATGAGAGATAAGGGAGTTGACTTTGTAAAAAAATAGACCGGTTATATCAAAATATGGAAGAGGATAATTTCTTACATTTGACTACTCGTCGCTCTTTGCTCTTCCATACGAAGGAGCATTATGTAAGCTGGAAGTAATTAAATGTATGTCAGTTTAGTCACGTGTTCGATATGTTAGTGCTTCTGATTCTCTGAATGCTAATTGACATGTCTGAGTGATTGTCATCAAATCATAATGATGATTATAGAAGTGGACATTTTTACTTTAATTCTTCATTTAGTTATTCTGAAGGTTTTATTTCCTTGTATCTTTTTGACAGCATCACCATATTTTTCTTTGCAAAAGAAGATGAAGGTTGCATCCTCACACCGACCAAGGAAAACCATCTTGCACCCGTGACTATACAATTCCAGCAAGGTCTTGGACAGAAGTTTAGACAGCAAGCTGGAACTGGTATTAACTTTTCAACGTTTGAGGAGTCAGATTTATTGAAGGTGGGTGACATGGATGTCTACCCTTTAGCAGTGAAGGCAGAGGCATCCTCTAATAATCATGATGAATCAAATGAAACTGTGGCATCTGATAAAACAAACTCTCAGATAACTCAAGCAGTGTTCGAGAAGGAAAAAGGGGAATTCCGGGTAAAAGTTGTTAAGCAGATCTTGTCGGTGAATGGCATGCGGTATGAGCTGCAGGAGATATATGGTATTGGAAATTCAGTGGAGAGTGGCGTGGATGACAACGACCAAGGAAAGGAGTGTGTGATCTGCTTGTCAGAGCCTCGTGACACAATTGTTCATCCCTGCCGACATATGGTATATGCAGCATCCCTTTCTTAATGTATTTTTTCTTTGATTAGTTTTTTTTTTTTTGATCAATTTGATTAGGTCATTGAATGATACTGATGGTAGTCATCAATATCAATATTATTCTCGAAAATCTGTTCAATCTTAGGTTCTTAGCAAACTCATTACCATTGTCAAATTTAACAATTGAAAACTGCGTATTGGGTCCTTGACAGTCTTTGGATGGATCTACTCTTTTTTGCAGTGCATGTGTAGCGGATGTGCAAAGGTTTTGAGGTTCCAGACAAATAGATGCCCGATTTGCAGACAACCAGTTGAGAGGCTTTTGGAGATAAAGGTAGGGACTGAGGAGTAAAGAAGATACATACGTTGTTATAACTATAAACTTCCTGTACAGCCCAACTGTAATAATAGTACTTTATTACTTCTCCATGGTTTCTTTTCATTTTTCATGGTTTCTCCCTCAGTTTTTCTGGTTTTTTCGAATGAGAAGAAGAAAAAGAAGGAAAATGAAATTTATATGACACTTAGTTTAACATCAGGCTTATTGAACATGAAGTTGTACATGACAATGCCTCCAACGAGCTTGTTTGTCTGTTTTTAGATTGCTTCAATTTTCTCTTGGGATCACTGTTTTAATCAAGTTATTATTATAAATTGAAGAAATCTAAGTGTTAAGTTGAAGAATCATAAGATATGTAATAAGAGTGTTACTACCATGAGTCCGTTGGTCAGTAAGAATGTTGCGAAAACAATTGATTAACATGATGTAGAACAAAACATTATAGAGAACATTGGATAAATGTATTGCATTTATTGAGTCTCTTGGAAGAAGTAGCATCTTTTTCAGGTTTGATTCTACAGAAGGCTATAACAAGTGGTTTGTGGTGAACCATATGTTTCAGAAGCATTAGATCAGATAGTCTCAAATATGCTGCACACTGTTGTCTTTTATGTGAAGTGGTCTTAAAAAAGATTATCATTTGCTTGAGTATTACATGTGATAGAATATGGGCGTAGTAGGAAAAGCATGTAGATTTTTATTCTGATCCAGTTTGTTTAGGAAGGGAGGAGCAAAGTTGCACAATAATGGAGTAGTGGGGCAAAGGAGACATAAGTGTAGAGATAGAAAAAGGGGACACAAGGACGACAATGGTCGTGGTGGGTGAGAGAACATTAGAAAGTGAGTGATGGAAACTGATAATATTTTAAGTACATACATTCCGAATATGATTTTGATACTAATATAGTCACACAGTTAATAATTAAAAAAAAAAAAGATTTTGATCCTAATATAGTTACACCACACTGCTAATAATGTAAATAAATAAATTAATAAAATGTGATCATAAGTGGTAAACGTGATCATAAATGGCAGTATAGGTGTGAGTTTTTTATTCAAATACCTCATTTTTAATTTTTTTTAAAAAATAATTCACTCTAAATTATTTTTTAAAATATTTCACTTTAGAGTACTAATGAAGTATAGGCGTCAGATGAATTGACTGACTCATTTGTAAGATAAAGAGGTGTGCAATTGGATTGGAGACACCACATAATGTTGTCAATTCAGATGAATTGACGACTCATTTGTAAGATAAAGAGGTGTCGTCAATTGGATTGGAGACACCACATAATGTTGTCAATTTAATTGGCGACAGAGTGTTAAGTTTATAAATTATCGCCAATTCATTTTAAGATTGGGTGCAAAGTGTAATTTTTTAAACATGGATAATAAAAACAAGAAAGCGTAGATTGTAAGGACAAAGACTATTGAACATGTATTTGACAATTTGGAGGATTCCTACAAAGAATTACCGCGATTTTTGGTGGCACTTAAGACATACACACCGGGGTTGTTGCAATTATGCAGTTGTAGGCCAAATGGAACTATTGTTAATGAAAATGCAGTATTTCACCGACTCTTTTGGACGTCTCAACCATGCATCAAAGGTTTTGCATTCTGCAAACCTATTATTCAAATTGATGGAACATGTCTATACAGAAATTTCAAAGGCACCTTACTTATGGAAATTAATGTCTTTCCCATTGCTTTTGCGCTGGTTGAAGGTGAGACCACTGCTGGTAGGAGTTTCTTCCTTAAAAAATTTTAGAACACATGTGACTTCATAAGTTAATCTCTGTTTGATTTCAGACAGGTATGCTGCTATTGAGAGTGCTCCTAATAACCATGATAACGGGTGACATAATCCTCCCTCTACCCATGTTTATTGCATTAGACATATCGCACAAAATTTTATGCCTGCAATCAAAGACAAGAATCTTCATAAAAAAGTTGTGAATGCAGGGTATGCTCCAAAGATAAGAATCTTCATAATAGGTTGTCAAATGCAGATGCAAAAAGGTGGTTGAATAACATTCCATTGGACAAGTGGACAAAGGTATTTGACGTAGATGTCGTTGGGGTTACATGACAACAAACCTTGTGGAATCCATGAACGACGTCTTCAAAAGAATTAGAAACCTTCCAATCACCGCATTGGTGAGTTCAGCCTATTATAGGTTGGCATCACTTTTCGCAAGAAGAGGCGAAAGATGAAGTCCAATGTTAATGTCGGGTCAATTATTTAATGAATGCATAATGAAAGTGATGAAAGAGGAAATTATCAAAGTCAGCATTCATGCAGTTACAGTCTTTCACCGTCATAGGAAAATTTTCAGTGTACAGGAAACAATGGACCATAATGAGGGGAGACCAAATTTATCCTATACTGTCAAACTAAACAACTGTTGGTGTGACTGTGGCAAGTACCAGACCTTCCGTGTACTTTGCTCCCATGTCATTGCGGCATGCGCACATGCTCGTCGGGACGCTTACAACCATCTATCTGATGTTTACGAGACCATTAACGTTATGAATGCCTATAACGAAGGCTTTCAGAAGAGCATCTCCATCAGAGACTTCTCTCTTAAATAAATCACTTTCTTGTAGCAACGAAGATACATATTATGAGTAATACAAGAATATGAGAAGAGATGTAAAAATAAATGATCACACCGCCTCTATTTATAGTAAAATTGCATTTTTCATTATAAACTTAACACTATGTCGCTAATTAAATTTACAACACCATGTGGTGTCTCCAATTCAATTGGCGACACATCTTTACCTTACAAAAGGGTCGTCAATTTATCTGACGCTTATATTCCATCAGTCTTAAAAAAAATAGAATATTTTAGAAAATAATTTAAAAAATGAGTTATTTAAAAAAAATTTAAAAATTGAGATATTTAGATAGAAGAATACGAGTGTTTTTGAAGTGTTGGTGCTATAGTTTTAATCCAATGGTTTTTAAATATGATCCACCAACCACTTCTCTTTTGTTATAATCCACCAATACACTAATGTTCATTAATAGTTTAAAATTTTATGGTTGAGATTTATGAAGGACAACTAACGAGTCTTTAAAAAATAAAATTTAAATTGATATTAGATTTTGTCAATATTAAACTATTTTTTGAGGTATTTATTATTCAATACTTTTTTAGGCAAATAATCCAATACTTGTACAAATCATTTTAATTAAATTAATAGATATAATTTTTAAATTTATTTTTGTACTTTTCGTTTTCATTTTATAATCATCAAAACTTATAACGAGAAAGTATAATTAATTATAGAAAATTTTCTACAACATTTAATAATTTTTTTTTATAGAAATAATACATTAAAAAAAAACAATAACACTTTAAAGCTATACAAGTGATAAATTAATTTGTAAAGCAATGCATATCATTTATAACTTTCCGAGGCTAAACTTTAAAGCAGCAACGGCTCAATTTTATTAAAAGTAGAGCTACTTTTGTGTGATAAAAATCAGTTTTATCTAACTACAATATCAAATTATTTGCATAAAAAGTTAAGAAATTATTTAAACGTGTAAAAACAGAGTTTAACACTTATAAAAACAAAATATTAATAGACTATTTTAAATTTAAATTATATATTTAAGTTAATATATTTCTTTTACGACAAATATCCGTCTGTCATCCCTAATATTTATCAGAGTATTTTGAAAAAAAATCATAACGCAATTATAAATTTTGAAGAATCTATAAAAAAAATTAAAGGGTACGTGTAGGAAGATAAAAACCCTTTTGAAAAGGTGAATCTCGCCTTATAAAACGTTAGCCTCACCTAAGGGAAAACAATAAACAATGTAAGTTCTTTAAACTATTAAATATTTTTTATTTAGCATAAATCAAAAGTTGTATTTAAATTTAAACCGTTTAATTTTTATTCATCAATAAAAATGTTAAATTCATGAATGCGACAAATGGTAAAAGCAGTCGATGGCATGGACACAATCTCTCTTATGTCTGCTCTAATTAAGATGACGTCATCATCATTATTATTAAACAAAAACTTATGAGATTGCAAAGTTATATTACTACATTCAAAAGTTACTAAATTAACATTTTATATATGTGGGGCTGCCCCTAACTTGATGCACATGCATCTGCTTTATATGTGGTCTTCCTTTAATAGTTTGAAAAGTTCTGTTTATTATATATTAATACTAAAACCTAAATTATAGACCATCTTAAAAATTGTAAGTAAGCTACAATATTTAAAAACAATCGTATCTAATTTATAAACAATCGTTTTAAATTGATTCTAATTGGGATTAAATGTGTCATTATTTATGATCTTACCTGATCAGAAAAAAATTAATAATTAATAGTTTGTCATGCGTCGTGAGTTCTTGTATTTATCGGTGTTGTTGAGGAAGACGAGGTGTATCTGCAAGGTACTGTATTCATCGGTGTTGTTGAGGAAGACGAGGTGTATCTGCAAGGTACTTTGATGTTTAAGTGAGTAACAAAGTTTAGAGAGAGAGAGAGAGCAAGTACAGGAAAAATAGGTGTAGAGAATAACATACTTGACCCTCTAGTGAAAGAGGATATTTATAATGTGTCTCCAGCGCAGGGCCAACAGTTACACTGCATTGGGCCGGATTGCCAAGCCCAACACAAACAACTGACAGGACTTACGTGGCGTAGGAAAGACCAGCACGTGGTCTTTGCCTTGGATCAACTGTCCTGTGATCTTCGGAAGGTGGGTTGTCTGATGACATGTCCCCGCGTGGGGGACACGTGGAGAACGTGGGAAAAGCGTGTGGGCTCTACTCGCGCCAAGTAGTGGTTTGCCCGACTGAGGGGCCTCCCCAATGTAATATTGGGTTGGGCCTGCCCGACTGAGGGACAAGTCTCGGCCTAGCCCAGAACAAGAGCCCCTAAGTCGTTGCTCCTAAGCGGAGGAGTAATGACTTAAGAGCGAGTTAAGGTGTCGAGGACCAGTTCAGAAGATGTCGGGTACGATGGAAGTTGAGG